CAGAGCGTCCCCAGACCCACCCGTGCCCAGCCCGCCCCCTCCGCGGCCCCTCTCTCCCGCTCTCTACGGCCCCCCGCGCCCCGGCGGGTCCTCCGAGGGGGTTTTCGGCAGCCGTGGGTCGCGCCGTGGGTCTCACCCGCCTGCTCGTTGGCCGCCAGGTTCTGCTCGAACTCGATGCGCAGCATCTCGTACTCCTTGCGCACCTGGGCCAGCGTGTCCTCCAGCTGGATCCCCTCCGTCCGCAGCCGCTTCTGCACCCCCAGCTCATCACTCTGCCCCCGGTGGGGGGACGCGGAGAGGGGAAACGGGGACATGGAGGATGTAGGGGATGTGGAGGACACGGGGGACGTGGAGGACATGGGGACACGGAGAACATAGGGGACACGGGGAGGCGGAGAACATGGAAAATGTGGAGGAAATGGGGACATGGAAGACACGGAGAACATGGAGGACACCGAGGACGTGGAGGACACCGAGGACGTGGAGAACACGAGGGAGACGGGGGACATGGGGGATGTGGAGAAGGGGGGGACACGGACACGACGACATGGAGGACGCAGGGGACACAGGACACACAGAGGACACGGAGGACACGAGGGACGTGGGGGACATGGAAACACGGAGCACATGGGGGACAGGGACACATAGACATGTCAGTGTCAGCGAGGCGACCATCTTGGATGGCCATGAGCTGGACACGCCATGACACCCCCTGACCCCCAGACACCCTGCGGAGCCCTGAAGATACTTGAGGACACTTGGGGACACCTTGGTGACATCACGACCCACCTCCACGTTCTCACTATGATGGAGGTGGCCATCTTGGATGGCCAACAGTTGGATGCCGTGACGTCCCATGACCCCCAGGACCAATGGGACACCCCGGGGAGCTCCAAGGACACTTGGGGACGCCTTGATGACATCAAGAGCCACCTCCACGTTCTCACTATGATGGAGGTGGCCATCTTGGACGCCCAACAGTTGGATGCCGTGACTTCCCATGACCTCCAGGACCAACGGGACACCCCGGGGAACCCCCAGGAGCCTTGGAGACAGCCGAGGCCACCTCGGGGACACGTCCCCTCACCTCCATGTGCTCGATGTGGCGCAGGTGGCTGTTCTTGGTGGCCAGGAGCAGGGCGCGGGCCTCGTCCAACTGCGTCTTCACTTGGAGGCTCTCGTGGTAGAGGAGGGAGAACTGGGACTGCAACACCTTGTACTCCAGCGTCTCCTTCACCGCCTCCTCCGGCAGCGAGCGTAGGGCCACCTGCGGG